CTGACTGGTGAAATTTTTGACTGACTGGTGAGACACCGCCAGTGTATATCTAAAAGGTATATAATCTCTAGGATACACATAAGTATCGTTCATTTACTTGGCCAAAATTTCAGTCAAAGAAACAGGGACGAACATACAAATATACACAGTCCTATAAATGAAACAATGGATCCCTTTAAAGCTGAAATATAATCCTAGAATTTTAAATATGCCTGTTTTTAAATATGCCAATATGTACATGAAAGGGATTGGGGACTAAATCTTACTACATAGCATTAAATATTTAGGATTAGAAATCCATAATTTGTGCATATCAAACACCGACATCTGTTTAATGTGGCTTAAATTTAGCTCTGTGTTGCACGATAAGAGTTTATTATCAAAAGGGCACCGGTACTCGCATGAGATATTACCGATAACAGGCAAAGCAGAGACATTACATTCAAAAAAACAAAAATAAGAAAATCACCAATTGAGAAAAGCTGATTAAGACAGTCATTAATTTGAATGATTTATCAATATCGCTCTAGAAGAATCTAGAATAGTACTTTAAAAACAAAAAGGCATCTAAAAAGGAGGACAGGATACAAAAGGCCCCCAAATGTCTCTTTGGCGTAGTGTATTGTTTTACTGTATGATTCCAAAACCAAAGGCCTGATAGATTTATCTGGTGCAACAGATTCTAAAGCAAATGAGATGCAATGGGCTGGATTACCATCCCACTAAACTGCCAGGATTTGTTCCATAAAAGAAGCAGAACAAGAGGTTTATTCACCACAATGAGCCAAAGAATCTCACAGGATGGATGCTTTTGTAGAAATTCAGCTGTCACATAGGCAGACGCCATCAACGTGACAAAGCGCATGCAATGCATGGCGTACGCATCTATGTAATTTAAAGCCAGACTCTTTCACTAGGATACAAATGTGACAAAAGCACCCAATGACAATAATAATATACTGTTGAAAAATAAAAAAAACTTCCAGAAGCATTAGAAAGAAAAAAATGCTTAATTACAGGACTGCATTTCTAAGTTTAGCCTACCTGCATGACAGTGACAAGAAAACCCACACAAATCCCGGCATTCAATTAAAAAAAACATTATAGCAAAACAATAATTGTATTCTGGTAACTTTTGTGATAAATATCTGTAATGATAGTACTCAGTATATGACTTCTATTTTTATTTTATATTATTCTGCACATTTACATGTAAACCAAGCTGCCCATCAACAGTAACAGGGGGTTGGGACACAACAGTCAAGCTTTTAGTCATAGTGTTTAAACCTTTTACCCAAAAGAAAAGAAAGCAGGTTGCTGTAGTTGGCATTGGGCTTTAGTTTCGTTACATGATGATATAAGACTACTCTGTCTACAATGCTGCTGTGAGCTTTCAAAAGCGTTGTCACCCTATTACAGGTAGTGGTAAAATAACAGATTTACTGGCAGAACCAACCAGTAATAAAACTATGTTGCAGAACAAAAACTGTTATTACTAGTGACAGACTGCATCGTACATGTCATTTTTGATTCAACCCTTACTTCTACTTTAAGTTTACTTAATCATGTTACATCCATTGGAGCAGACATAAGCTGGAGGAAGCTTCTGCAGGAACCAGAGCATTGCACCCACAATCCATTGATCAAAGTTGCAATAAATTTACAGGCTCCAATGCAAAAAAATAATTAATGCACATTTTTTTCTTTTATGAATGTGTGTGCATTCATTATTTTTTTTTGTAAAAGCTGGACTATACCTTCAACTGCTTTCTAATGTGTTCTCTGTTAGCCGGCTGCAGATTGTAGACTTGCTGACCGTGCAAAATTATTGGAAAGGACATCTTGCAACTTGGCAATGTCAATGCAAATTTTGCTACAGACAGAAAGCTACTACCCATCAACCTGCTTTATCTTATAAATCTTGTAGAAGAACATCTGAAGGCAATATTAAAACATGGCATGATAACATTTAGAAAGTTGTTGAGCCCAAACAAGACAACTGGTTCCCATCACCCATAGATAGTCAATCTCCCCACAACTGTAGATAAGCTCTTTTTTTCTTATGGTTTATTCTTTTTTTTCCCCAATTGCAATTTTAAAATAATCAGGTTTTAAAGTGTACAATATCTAAAACTAAACATTTTATTTTTTTGGTAAAATAGCAAAGGGCTAAAAACATCTGTCAAGCTTTTACTGTTATCCAGCGTGCTATTATAGAAATACTTTTTTTTTTCTCTCACTTTCCATTCCAGTGATAAGTTTCTATTCTGTTTTTAGTGCCCAATATGTGGAAGCCAAGTTGTATTTTTTGCTTTACTGACCTATATTTAAATAAACTGCACATAAAACCCATCAGCCAAAAAAAGCTATATTCTGAATAATCATTTTAATGTAATTCATTATGAGCCAACACTGCAATTGATATAGTCACATTTATAATGGGTTAAACAGGAAGGCAAACTATTATTAGGTGTTAAGAATCTATCATTCAGGAACTACATCCATAACTGGCAAAGACACATATGTACTAGACGATAACTTACAGCACGCTTGTAAGTGACAGGCAAATACTCACAGAAATGATTAACTGCTTCACAAGCTTAGTATCATCAATACAATCAAACATTGCCAGCAAGACCAGATGAGAAAATTCTCCCTGCAAGCAAAACAAGATACAGGCATAGTTGAAAACAAACATGATAGAAAAAGGCACTATATACTGTGGGTGTGCATTTATTATGTATTAAAGATATACAGTATATTAACAGACACTATATTTATTAATCTACCTATCGATATACTTTTGTCTGCATTGTTTAACATATATTTATGGATCTCTGCACTTTTAGCAATTTAGGACAGTATCAGAGCTATCAACCCAGCTGGATTTTTGCACGCCACCCAGGTTTCTTACTCCCTCTTCCGAAGTCTGGGAAGAAAACCTGATACATGGGCAGTGGGGGTCACTTCTGCCAGTGGAAGAGGGAGGCACCATCCCACCCAGGTGGTGCAGCATAAAGCAGTAAAAAGAGACACACACAAATGTAAGCATGCATACTTTTCAATCCAGTAGAGGGAGGCGTGGTAAGATAATGCTGTAAATGTCTAAAATGGGCAAAAAAAATAATTGAATGTAGTATGGCGACCTGTCGGTGTTCTGTACACAGTTGGTGTACAGAATGCCCTCAGAAATGTCCTTTCCTGCTTCTCTGATTGACTAATTTTGACAGACATCTGCACTACCATATATAAACAAAATCTTAGGCATCCCTTGCAATAGCATTATCATTCTTGGTAACAATGGTGAGATACTCCCTGAGGGATAATTAATGCTAAAGGGATGCCAACTCTGCAACTCTCCTCATTAGAACATCTAAAGCCGACCAGCTGATTATAATGAACATGCACCCTCCCTTACAGAAATCTGTTTGGAAAGGACATGCTGAAACAGATGGCTATTTCTTCAGATCATAAACAGGTAGAAATCTGCAACAAAGTTTGGGCTGTGTGCGCATTTCAAGGCTGCTCTATTAACAGTGCGTGCGCCTTCCAAGGCTGCTCTATTAACAGTGTGCGTGCGCCTTCCAAGGCTGCTCTATTAACAGTGTGTGAGCGCCTTCCAAGGCTGCTCTATTAACAGTGTGTGAGCGCCTTCCAAGGCTGCTCTATTAACAGTGCGTGCGCCTTCCAAGGCTGCTCCATTAACAGTGTGTGAGCGCCTTCCAAGGCTGCTCTATTAAAACTGTTAAAGTTCTGGGTAAAATTTTAATATTTTTCCCTTATTAATACCCCGCAGTTCTTTCTTTCTTGATGCTTCACTTACTAAACCATGGTGGCTTCTACAATAGACAAAAGTAAAGCTGTAATCTTAGTGCAGACTTCTGGGAAAATCAGTCAGCTAATCACAAAAGTAGAAAATTACATCTCTGGGAGTGTTTTGTACATCAACTGTGTACAGAACGCTTAGGCCAGGTTCACACCTGGGCGTCTTACAGCGCGTTCCTACGCTCTGTAAAATGCTTAACACGTGAAAACCAATGATTGCTTATCGGCATGGTTCCCACCTGGGCGTTTTACAGCGCGTAGGAACGCGCTGCAAACCGCCCTACGCCCAAAGAAGTAGAGGAGCTTCTTTGGGTCGTATTTGCCACGCGTATCCATTGGGATACAGCCAGGTAGCCCTCGGAAACGCGCGTTTTTTACCGTGAATTTGGTAAAAACGTGCGACAAATGTGCATAATCGATACGCCTAGGTGTGAGCCCTACCTTAGAGGTGGCCATATTGCATTGAATGTGTGACTGTTTTTATGAATGAATACAAGACATTCTCAGTTTGCACTAGCGGCCGTTAGGACTTTAGTAGCTATGGCTATAAGAGTGCTTTATAGGATCCCCAGTGGCTGGTCAGGTATGTGTTGCATTGCTCTCTATTCCTTTCATTTTTATGTATAGTATTAACTGGAACTGTCAAATTGTGGTAAGCTTAGAATACTCAGAGCTTACTTTTGGATTTCCCCCTAAAATGTTGAGACTTAAAAAAAATACGACTGCACACTGGTCTAAAGGAATCCTGTTAATGGAAAAATACATTTACAGGCATTCCTGGTCTCATTGTTGATCAAATGACTTGAATGCTTTCACTTATCTGGAAAAAGTATGCAGATTGGCAGTTGTGACTTCTCTTGCTGCATAGTTGTTCCAAGACACAGACTAAAATAACTGAAGCCAGAGATGGCTCTACAAAGAGAGCCTACATAATTCTCTCATACTGGGTTTTCCTTTGAGAATGGTGTTTGTGGTCATCACATTGATAGCACAGCAGGAAATATGGAGGTCAGTACCGAGTTTTGCCAAGGTACACTCAGCGAATGCAGTAGGAGGGGCACCACTGTACACATTAGACTTACCTTCGATTTACACTGCATTTTCCAGAACAAGAAGAATGGACAGATGCTAGAACATCTACTTTAATCAACAGAACCTATTCACACCAATTAATTATCTTAACCCCTTCATGACTGAGGCCCTTTTTTCATTTTTTGCACCCATGTTATATTCCACATTTTACATAATAACCCTCTTGTTTGGCTATCCTTTTCCTCTTGTCAAATATGCATCCAGAATACCTTTTTTTTTTTTTTAGCCAGAGTGTGACTGCACAGTGTACCTAGTGAACTGCTTATGCGAACTAATGTTATAGATTTCTGGGCTATAAAGCGTAATGAACATCTCAGGCAAAAAAAAAGCCAAGATGAGCCATGTGCAAGTGAATTATCTTAGAGGAACCTGGGGGTCACAACCTGCCATACACACTACACTGGCTCTAAGAAGGACAAGTAGTAAGACTGGAAAGTAGCTAAGGTAAAGTATTTACTTGTATATACAAGTGTAAGGAGAGTAGGGAATTGCATTTTTTTTTTTTTTTAAATAAAAGAACATTTACCCCTCAAAAAGCCTCGTCAGCAATATTTCAGACAAAATGTTCTGTCAAAGTGCTGACATCACTAAGTAAAATTCATTCATGGAAAATCATCCTCCGGATACCTTCTAAAACTAATTTTGGTTTGTGACTTAGGACTGACTTCACAACTAAGCCCCGCCCACCCATCTTTTTCCTGTCCAATGACACTATACTTGCAGGATGTGTATATTGTGGCATTTAATTCCAGTGATTAAAATAGGGTCGGTCACAATGTATTAAAAATAATGCCTTAATAAAATGTCTAAACACGCTCAAAACACACGATGTCTAGTGTGACCTAGCACTTACACGTGCAAGTTTATTACAGCTAAAAAAGCCATGTAGATTTCACCGCTAAAGGGCTTCTTTCCCTGTGCCAGATCTGTCATTGAATGCATGCATTAAAGTCACCAACATCTAACTGATGATCCTTGATTTGTATTAAGCTAAACTTGCATTAGCACTGACACTATTGTAGCTTCTAGCATCTATCGCTTACTATACAGAGATATATATCCAACATATTGATCACAAGAAGACAGGCAAACAGAGCTAATCTTCAGTAAATTGCTTCCTTTCTGCTTGCAATTCTAGAACAAAAGCTTTTTTGGGGTTTTCCCTGAAAAAAAGCCTACAACCTTTGGCTTTTCTTTAAATGGAAGATACATTGAATTCAAAATTTAGGAGGCTGGAAGAATTTTAAAACAGCGTGAGAAAAACATGGACAACACATTTCCTACTTTTAAACACTTAGATTAAAAACAGTACAAGAACACAAAAATATAAACAATACCGTAATGTTAGTGTGACTAAACATCCAAAATGTGCATTCACGTTTGTGATGGTAGTGCTAGAACTATGTAAACATGGGTGGTCCAAGGTTACAGATCTTTTATTAAAGGCCAGCTGGGAGATAATTACTCCACTGTGTAGCAAAACAGATGTGTCTGAGAATCAGTCCATCACCCAAGACATAGCCTAAAGATGTAGCCTAAAAGCTATGCAAATAAATGGAACTATAGCTCAGTGAAAAAAAGAAACCTAACCACAACTCCAGCCGCATGGAGTTTCTACAATCTCTACATGTTTACACACGTTCTTACCAGTGCTAATAATTAGGGATGCACTGATACCATTTTTTCGGTATCGAGTACCGATATGTATCTTTTGGTACTCGCCGATACAGAGTACTGATACAAGTACTTCCACTAGCATGGAGTCGGATTCCGCGGCAATCAGGAAGCTGAGCGGCGTGTCATTACCCGCTGCCCGCCTTCTTGATTGCCCAGGAAGCCATCTCCTTGATGTTTGGCCAGCTGGATGCTGATTGACTAGAAGGCCGGCTCCGCAGCCAATCAGCATCAAGCAGGCTTCCCGGCCAATCGGGAAGCGGGTCACTACCTGCCACCCAGCTTACTGATTGGCCGGGCAGCAGACTCCATGCTAGTGGAAGTACTTGTATCAGTACTCTGTGTCGATGACGATTGGCTGGGGAGCCGGCTTCCCGGGCAATCAGGAAGCCGGGTGGTGAGTTATTAAACACTGCCCAGCTTCCTGATTGGATAGGAAGACGTCTACATTGTTCCTAAGCGACACTGCTGGTCACAGTAGATCTCCCTCTAACCGGATGTTCCGCTATCGGGGGTAAGTATCGGAGCATTTGGGCGAGTACGAATACTTGCCCAAATACTTGGTATCGGTGCACCCCTACTAATAATACCATGATAATTTGAAAAATAAATTTTCTATATTGACCGCAGTAGTACTGGAGCGACAGTGTAAAGTAAGGGAGTATGAACTCCACAAGGGGAGCAACTAACAACTTGGGTAAAATATTTTCTGTAAACCAGTAATAGATCATCAGATACAGTAAATAATTGAAACTTGAGAAAGAAAAGCCAAGTTACTGAAAACCAACCAACATTTTGTAAAGGATTGAAAAAAAAAAAAAAACAGCAATTTATTTGCTTTTGTAATGAAGCCAATATAGGATAAGTTTTAATTTGGAAGTCCCAGTTTTAAAAAAGGACTACAGTTGGGTACACACAAATCAAATTTTGGATGATTCAGCAGAAGTCAGCCAAAATTCCGTCCATTGGTGACCCTATTCCCTCAACAGAAGACGATCATTAAATTGACCTTTGCTGAAGGAACATGTTGGATATTCTTCAGCTGAACGGTGTTTTCAGCCAATCAGCTGCAAACACAGTTGGAGAATTCTGACAGCGGCCGGTGTCAGTATCCAAAGTTTTCAGCGGGAGATTCATCCATCCTTCTCCTGGTTTAGGAATAGGTTATATGTTTTCTCTCAGCCCGCAGGTTGTTTGAAAAAAATATAATCGTGCATACCCAGCTTAACTTTTTGTTTGCAACTCAAAACCCATGTATGAAAAGGCAATACTCTCATTAGTCACTACCATTTAGAAAGATGCAAGACCAATTTTAAAACATTGTGGAAGAGGTAACCCCTGACACTGGAAAGTAACAAAACTGCTGACATTTGCTTATGAACTGCAAACTGTTTCCATTTGACAACATACCGTGGCCAATTTTTCAACATATGTCTTCGTGGTTTTTGTAAATACTTTTCTGTCCTGCAGAAAATGAAGAAAAAAAAAGATAAAATGACTGGAAAATCTAAGAATAAAAGAAAAAACAGATAAATAAAAAGGCCCCAAAACTTAAGACGTAGTACTAAGTAAACACTAGTGTTTGTTAAAACAAGCACCAGTTGCTCACACATCCCTGGTACTTGATTGGAAATATCCATGTGTTACTTCACCTCCACCCAAGGAGTCTCCACAAACAATGACCATTTAACCAGATGAGCTTGGCCAACTCACTTTTTTTTAATAATAAATCGAGATCAAACAAATCTACATTGTCCAGAAAAGTATTTCTTTACATTTTTGCCCAAACATGCACAGTAATTAACTAAACTTCCTGTCCAGTACAAGATCACAAGGGATAGGGCAGTCTGCACTAGCTGTCCACCCACTATCTTGGAGAAGGGAAGAAGGAGGTGAGTGGAGCAGGGGGAAGGGAAGCAGTGTGCCTGTGTTTGCAGAGACAAACTTAGCTTACTATTACACACAAGGCTGTCTTCATAGGACACTGCAAGGGAAAGGAGTTATCCCAAAATAGGATTTCAGGACCAGTGCTCAGGGGATGTGTTCTGCAAAAAGTTAAACCTTATAGCGCCCGTTCAAACCAAAATCAGAAGAAAATTGCAAGTCAACTGTTGTTTACTTTTTCCCCCCCTTTTTTTGCCAATCTTTATTAGCACGTCCTGAGCAGACAAATATTTTTTTTCCTCGTTCTGTTGCAATTACATCCATTTTTTTCCCATTACGTTGCAATGAAAAAAAGTAGAGTATTTTTTGCATCACACTGCAACGGAACGGTGCAAACTAGCCCCATTCACACCCATACACTTTTGGAGCCCTTGCGTTAGCATCTGTTGAATAACGGATCGCAACGCAACAGATCTGGAGTGAATGGGGCCTGAAACATCACGGAGCAGTGTCTATTTTAACGGATTTGACAGCATTTGAAACAGCTTAAAAATCTTTTGACTTTAATATCACTTTAACTTTTAGTTGCCACAGTCTTTAATGTTGAGGAGCTAAACCAACCTCGCCAACGCAGTTTAATATGAAATAAAAACAAACTTCACTTAACTGGCTTAACATTCTGAATCGGATTAGTCTGCTCTATTAGAATCTGTCAAGGAAGAACTTTTTCTCCTGGGAAACTTCTTTTTTAATTTAATTTTATTTTTCAGAGAAATTCTTCTTTGTCTAAACAATGAATATCCTAGTGAAATGAGGTATAACACAGTAAGATGTGCATCCTTAGACCTTCGTAGACACATGATCATATCACCCAAGCATATTTGAACCATCATCGGCTGCGAAAACCCAACATGCTTTATGAACTAGACATCACAGGATGATCAGCTGGAGGGGAGGGGGGCTGAGGGAGGTGTATGTTGTCATCAATTACATGATCTAATATCTAAAAAGGCAAGCTACCAATTTGTCAGCAACTCCTCCGAAACTTGACAGAACAAAATACACCTCAAATTGCTTCTGTTTATTTCACACTAGACAAAACAAAGTAAGCCACTCGTTCTTTGATACCATTTAATAAGATCACAAGTACTGCAACAATGTGCTTCTGAAACGGAAACGCAGGAGGAGTAAACATTTAACTGGGTCTTTCAAACAAAACCCACAAACATTCAAACGTGGGGGCATTTGACTCAGCTGGGAAACCTTGTAGACAGGAACATAGCCGCCGCTTTTATGACTTCAAACTGTACATTGAGAACCAGCACCAATGCCTAATAAAGATCACAGGATGTGAGTTATGTGGGATTTCCTCAAGCAACGTTTCAGGCATACGTGACCTGGAATAGGGATATGCATCAAACCAGAACAGAAAGGCTGGTTACAATCCATCTCCTGCAAGCCAGTGAATCCTTCACAGCAAGATTAGAAATAAATCACATAAACTGCCTACAGAATCCCAAGGGCACCCCAGGAGCAAATGAACAAATTAAACACTTGGCTGACTGTCAATTGGAAATGGTTTACTTACAAGGGAGTGTTACCATTTGGAAATGGTGCTTTGCCATTCACGAATTAAACTCTTGGGCAGTCATTATGAATTCAGTGCTACTGTGCCCTGTTTAAGGCATTAGGTAACAACTAATGTACAGGATACTCAGAAAGGCTTCATTGACATTGACAGTTCACTAGCTGGATAGCTGAAGCTTGTCTAAGATGGGAAAGTTACTGGACTGCCTTTGATGTGCGATAGTAGCACTGCTTTCTTTAAGCAGGAAGTATTTATACAGGTGAAACTCGAATAATTAGAATATCGTGCAAAAGTAATTGCAGCAAGTGCTTGTATTTTTAAGCATGCTTGTACTTTTCAGAGGTCCGATATTGTTCTATGTACAATCCTTGTTTTATTGATTGCATGTAATAATCTACTTTTTTGAGGTTGTGGATTTGGGGTTCTTGGGGTTTTCATGAGCTGTAAGCCATAATCATCACAATTATGACAAATCACGGCTTGAACTATCTTGCTTTGCATGTAATGAGTCTATCTCATATATTAGTTTCACCTTTTAAGTTGCATTAGTGAAATAAATGAACTTTGCACGATATTCTAATTATGCGACTTTCACCTGTATATGCTGAACTGACATAAGCCAGCAAGCCTGAAGACACTTGGACAAGTTTGAATAAAAGGGCTCTGCAATTTAACCAGTAACCATAATATAAATTGTTGACACGAGGCCTTAAAAAACCCAGCATTGTTCTGGCCACTACTTTTAAAGCGAATGACACTACAAAAGAGCACCATACTTACCCCCCTGCTGCGCCTCCAAACTGTGCTGTGTTTTGAAGATCAAGCTGAATTTGACTTTCAGGTGTTTACCATACAAAAAGTACCATGAACTTTAGAGCACATTAATGGAAATGGACACTAAAGCAGGGTAAACATGATTTATTCTGCGGACTGAACAAAGAAAATATAAGATTCCTCCATCAATGTTGGTGAGTGTTGATGGACAAATCCCCCGCTGTTTGCATTTTATTCTGACAGCAGTCGCTGTCAGAAACCCTGAACGGAACTAGCAGTCAGTCAACCAAGAATTTTCCAACCAGCTCCTTCGATCAGCTGATCAAGTGATGCTGCGTGGAGGGGTGCCAACATCCACTGAGAGATATTTGAATGGTTAATCAGGAACCAGCCAAAATTCATACAGTGTATGCATACAGTTCATTCTAAAATCAAATGTTCAAGAAAAATGAAAATCGAACGAAATTTCAAACAATCGCCAGGTCTCTGATGGCATTATCAAACATTCCGCCAGGATTTTTCATACAAACTTTCGAAAGAAAATTTACACGTGTATACCCTGCTTTAGGACTGAAATTTGAGGATTATGTTTCTCTCATTAACATACAATGGGGAAACCCCTCACAACCCTTACGAAGATTACAAAAGAAGGAAATGCAAGTAGAAATGTTAACCCTTAAAGCGGACCCTTACCCCTTTCACTAAATATCACATCTGGGACTGGGGAAGAAAAGAGAAATAAGTAGGGATGCACCAATATAAATCGGCCGAAAATTGCACTTTTGACATAATGCCGAAAGTGCCATTTTCCTACCGATACATCGGCGCATCCCTGCTTTCTTTCCTCCCCGCTGGGCGCTGCTCTATGTCCCAGTAGGGAGAAGAGAAAGTGACAGCCGGCCGAGCGCTGCGGTGGAGAGCGCTGTGAGCGGCCGGCGTCTCCTCCCACACCGCTCTGCAGCCTATCGCAGAGTGGTGTGTGGGCGGAGACAGCGCTGTCACAGGAGGCTGGGCTTTCCTCTCTACATCGCTCGATCAGCCTCCTGTGACAGCGTGTCAGAGAGAACAGCAAGGTACACACACAGTGTGTGTACATAATTGAGGATATGGTATGTTAACTACATCCTCAATTATGAATGAATGGGAGTGATCTACATCACCACCATTCATTCATAATTGTAGTTATAGTAAACAATGTTCTCATGTTATCAATGAACACGAAGACTCAAAGGATTCCTGTTCATTGATAACAGGGGACACAGAAAAAGAGATTGAGGACTTTGTGTTCTCAATCTCTTTTTCTATTTTAAAAGGGAAATATCAGGGGTCTGTTTAATATTTCCCCAAAGCCCCTAAAAAGTAAAAAATAAAAATATTTACTAAAAAATAAATAAAAATATAAAAAAAATTAAAAAGTTTATAAAAAATTACATTAAATTTAAAAAAAAATGAAAATAAACATTTTCAGTATCAGTTTCAGCCTGACTTTTTTTATTTCAGTTTCGTTTTTAAAATTTCAATTTCGGTGCACTTCTATAAATAAGGTATGCAAAGAATAAAAGGCCTGCAATTATCTGAAAGTATGTGTTTGTAGATTGTCATAACTAAACATTTCTAAAGGGGCCTTTGTCGTCATTTTGAAGATATGGTTAAAGGTCCGCTTTAGGAAGCCCAGAAACCCGAACCAAAGTAATGGCAATTTCAACTGCAAGAAGCATTTTTTTAAAATATTTTTTAGCTTATGCTAGGTGAATGGGAGCATATAACAAATATAAAATAGGTGTTATTACAGTTTGGCTGTGAAAGTAGAAACACACTTCAGGATTGCACATTTATATTCTGGCATAAACCCAATCATAACCATTTTCTTTAAGCCTCTGCAATACAGTTACTGAACTACCTATGATCAGACATACAGAGCCTAATTTCCCTGGGTGGAGTTACTCTTTAACACTAGAGTTCATTTGGCTCTTAACTGTATGCATTTCACAGAGGAAACAAAATGCAGGATAAGCAGAGTTTTATGTACAATCAGGCAAATATAAAATGTCCTTCAACCGCCTCCATGGGTCATCACCCACACACACTACAGGGAGACATCAAAAACCCATCTAAACTACAAGTACTTAAACTACAAGATGTAAACTCAAAGATGTTCCATTTCATTTGAAGATTTCATTAGAAAATATGAAAACTTTAAAGAGATGTTCAATATAAGGTAACAGGATGCCTTTCTGTATGACAACCAGATGGACCAGACTAGTGCAGGAGTTGGATGAGGCCACATAAGACACTCTTTGCACAAGAAATTTAAGGCAGAGGTTGACCAGACATGAAGGAATTGTTAGATCCCTCAAAATTCCTGCAGATATAAACTAGGTGCTGTGTTTCTCCTATGAACATGGGACAAAATAAATATGTAAAGGAATTGAAATGATGGACTTCTTTATATTTCTAAGGACAAATGATGTATAATGTGCCCTCTAGTGGATTGTTCAGAGCAATACATGTACTCAAGTTGACAACAATCCTGAACCCAGACATCTAAAGTAAGACTGAAAGGTAGGGATCCCTCGGTCACAGTTCTGCATAAGGCTCAATTCACACATAGCAGCAGCATTTCCCGCGCGGAACGAAACCCGCAAAAACGTTAACATATGCGTGGATTCCGCAGGTTTCCGGCTAGAACGTGCGGAATCCGCCCATAAAACCGCGTTTGGACTATTTTGTTGGACGCACGGTTTCATACCACGCAGATGCCGCAATAGTCTGAACAATGCAATGCATTTTTCTTTTATGTTTAGTGCGGTTCCGCACATATACGTACGGCCGAAAACAGCTCATGTGTGAATGGAGCAGTACTGTAGAGACATGGAAAGGAATTAGACACTGCTGCACACACAAGGGAAATCTGTTTTGGGGAACTGCTCTGTAACAGATGGCAGCTCTTATCTTGTTCCTTCTGTAGGTCAGGTCACAGACTAGACAGTCACAACACTATGGCACCTTTCTATTCAGTGTGTGCAGTGAAAGGATTATTCCCTTCCCTATTGGGAAACTCAAATGTGTACAGGGAGAGAGACTAATATTAGCACACAAAAAAATAATTTTTAAACATTTCTACTAAATATGAAAGATAAAAAACTTTGAGTTTATATATTACACATATCAGTAAATGTAAACCTGCTTATTTGCCAGAGAAAAACCAAGAAACACAAAGCTGGAAATAAAGCACACATAATCCTTAGCTACTAGTTGGAAGAAGAAAGTGAACGGCAGGGGTTACTTTTACTTACCACCATCAAAACATAAATTATATTTTAAACTGATATTATCTGGCTTATCTTATAGCCAGAGGTCTGCGAAATGGGCAGAGCCCTGGCTCTCTAGACACTCTCACTGCAGAGCTGCCTCCTCATCTTGGCCACTAGCTCCACTACTTTTAATTGTGGGATTTTGACGATCAGCTCAGTGGATGGGGGCTTCTTGCTTTTCAAGCCCATGCCTGCAATCCAAAACCCCTATCCTTCTCATCTCCTGACTCTATGCTATTCTCCTGAATCTAGAGTTAATTGCCAATCTCTGCCTTACATCTCTGCCTGGGAAAAGGACCTGAACCACCATGCAAAATATTCCCCTCTGCCCGATGCTGCGACACTGCAAGAGGGACGATGCTACACATGGTGGTCTTGCCCTCCAGTCCTGACCTTCTGGTCACAAAATGTTACTATTTATGAACAGGTCACAGACCCTAAAGTCCTGATGAATCCAGACATCTTGCTTTTCTCAGTGCTCCAATGCCCTCTTTCTATCGCTCAGAAAGGCCTACTAGACTTTTTCCTCTTTGCTGCTAGTGCCGAGATCCCAAGGCACTGGAGGTCATCCTCTTTAAGGAATGGGACACTGAAATTGCCTACCTTCAGGAATGGAAGAACTAACATCCCTATTAAATGACAGATTTTTGAATGATATAATACCACTTGGAGCATCTGAATTACTTTTATGGGCTTCTCTCAATTTAGGAACTGACTTTTTCTACACCCTTAAACAGGATTAATGTAGGCTCCCCCACCTCTTTCCCATCCTACAGGACCTCCGTGCACCCACTTTGGCTCTTTCTTCCTTCCCTACACTCTCTTCACTTTTCCTTTTCTTCCACATAGGACAACCTAGCCACCAACACCCCAATTAGGCCACACTACAGCCACCCAATCACTAGGACTCCTAAAAGGGCCTGAACGTGCCAGGTAACGACCAGGCCCCTGGGTTTGTCTCAAGGAATAAAAGGAATTTCTGAATGTCCCGTTGATCATTTACTATGTATGTTGAAAGAACTCAAACTTTTACTATGTAAAAAAAAAAAAAATATTTAGAAGATTTTGTAGTAGCAGAATGGCCCACATTCGCCAAAACAAAGCAAGTGTAAATATATAGATATGTATATATCTATATATATTCTATTCCACATATTTTAATCTGGGTCTAAATTTAAAGCTTTCACACAAAAGCAAAATTTTACATACATTTATTCCTGGTATTTCAGAAAGAGGCTGGCAGCCACTAGAAGGGTGCATGCATAGGTAGCAGTCATTATACTTGCTGAACCGCTGTTAACATGCCATTTTGGCTAAATACCTCACTGTGAGAAGCTGGGTGGATTCTATTTTGCAAGCTCCAGCAAAATATGAAGACTATAACATCTAAATCATACCTTAGGTGTTCCATGCCATATGCAGTGCATGCCCACTCTCGCACCATCATGTGTGTGGATCATGTATATTACAGCTTCTCTGATTGCTTCAATCATTTCCTAAGATTGGAAAAGAAAAACAAAAATTACAAAAGTAGATTGAAATCGACTTATCACTACATGTACCTTTACATTTATGTTCTTTTAATCCTGACCATAAAAAAAAGAAAAAAGATAAAACCAGTATTCACTTTAAATTGTACAGATAGTGATAGTAAAAATAAATATGCTGTCAGATTTTCAGCAAATGAGTCCTACATTCTGGGGCAATACAATAAGCAAATTAATAGCTCTGCGGTCTACTCCAAAATTATGAGCCTTAATACTGTCCCATCAGTGAGATGAACAGCCTTACTAACAGTGAGCAGGTAGCACTGCCATTGGAAAGCTGGTGGCTTGTAAAGGCGCTCCCACATTTAGGGCTCATGGGGTGCTTTGCTAAAAAACCCAGCCGCATACTCAGGCACCTGGAGGTGCTTACAATATACTGCAAGTGCTTTTTTTCTACTTCATGAATGCTTTTACAATATCAAGCATCAAAGGCCCATGCCTTAATAAAAAATGTCCATTTATATTATGCTCAGTTTTTCCCAATGACATCCAGGCATCACATACACAAAATCATAAAACCATTAATGCCAAGTTTTCTGAAAGAAGGCAGACATTAAACAAGATCAAATTAATAAAATATAATCAGTATTCACGTACCGATCTTATCTTTGGGGTTGCATGGCAAAAAAAGTCCAGGAAAACTTTATGCACCAAAGAATGCTTGATTACAGCCTCCCTGGGGAGAGAAATACAGGTTATTATTTCTGGCCAATTACACAATGAAGTCACAAGCACAATTACAAGTCAACCGATATCAAAGGGTAATACCACTTTCCCAGGTGAATTTGGGAAAATGGAATAACCCCCTCGCTATACTTGCCTTTCTACTGCCGTTTAGTGCAGCCCTGCGCTCTGGATTTTGAATTTCACTCGCAAATGGGGAGCATTCATTGGTCAGCACGGAATAACGGGGGGGTTTAAGAGGGGGCCAGATTTAAGGGTGTAATTCCATTTTCCCAAGCTCACCTGGGAATACCCTAAGGGTAAAGGGTACTCTGGCTAAGAGCTGCCCAGTGGATGCAGCAGTAGAAGCAGGATATCCCTTGCAGCAGCAGAGGAGTAAGGGAAGAGCTTAACTCTAAACAGGAGATCTGGCTAAGAAGTTCCTACTAACTTGGAAAACAGTTGAAAATTTAGCTCACGTCATCCTTCCTTAAAGTAAATTGTAAGTAATCAGCAAGTAAGTAATCTTTTGCTTTTTTTTTTTTTTTAACAGTTACACAGAACCTGCTTTGTGCCTGAAAGTCGCAGAGAATTATATACAACGTCCAAGGACAAAATGTACAAAAGGTGTCAGTAGTAGTGAAAAGCAGGTAGACAGCACATCTCAAATCTTCAGAGTGCCCTGAAACCTGTGGCTGTACGTTATACATATTGCAACTTGATTTTCTGATGCTGGGTGCTCAGGCTCTGGCCCACCTCGATCCACCTACTGCACTATACTGTTCGTTTTTCAATGTATTTGTAGCTTCACTGACCAATATTAATGTACCGGCAGAGCTGGAAACCACTCTGGATCCAACCTCTCTGCATAACAGAGTGATGCTGGTTTTGGGTCCCTAGAGCACTGGTTAATATTCATAGAGACAAATCAATCTGCACTGGCAGGTCAGATCTCCAGCAACCTATTGTAGTCAAACACTTATACAGCATGCTGAAAGAACTTTCCATTTGTATTTGAAATGCTAAGTAATCTGCAGGCACCTCTGGGGTCTTTTTGCCCATTTAATATACACACAGATCTACTTTAAAAATTGTAATATCAAGGCTGCTCCATATCAATGTGCCTGCACGAATGCACAATTATGAAATAAATTAAAAAGGAGAACTATGAGATGAGTGATTTCCACTCACCTCCTAGTTCTAAGCCGACCTGTGACAATGAGACTGTCGCAGGTCGGCTCAGTAGATCGGGAGGTAAGCGAACATATACCGGCGTTCGCTCACCTCTCGATCCTGTCACGGCTCTCTGCCGTGACAGGGGAGGGGCTGGATTCCCCCCGCTCCGATCTGCCAGCGCTGACTGGCAGAACGGACGGGAGAGGGTACAGCTGGCTCTGACTCTCAAATTGGACAAAGCTATTATTATGGCTCAGAGCCAGATCTGGAATATGTAAACAAACAATACTAATGGTATCGGATACAAATCTAACATCAGCGATTTCCGACAGCTACGACTAGACATAAGCTATTTTGAGGGGGTTTTTTTGGCCACAGAAAAAAAACTATGTGTTAATACAATTTTATTTACCTATAAAGCAATTTTATATTTAAATTGCAAACAAGAT